GGACAGCTCCTCCGCCCGAAGCTGCAGCTTTCCAGTTTCAGCACCCGTATCCCGGACAGCTCCTGTGAGCGAAGCTCTGTCTTTCCAATTTCAGAATCATCGCTGCCCGGACAGCTCTACCGGTCGAAGATCGAAGTTTCCATTCGGCGCCACTGACATTCTACGGCTTCGAAGGCGACACTTTTCAGCACCATGAACAGCTCTGGCGATCAGTTGGAATACACCGGAGGCTTCCCTGCGCTTGAGGGAGAAGAACTGAAAGTAGCCCTGCCCGTCATCTTGGGGGTCATCTGCCTGGTTGGTTTGGTGGGCAACAGCCTGGTGGTGATGGTCCTGCTGAGGGACCTCAAGCAAGGCAAGAGTACAGCAGTCCATGGCTTGATCCTGTTGCTGAGCATCACTGAACTCCTTCTACTGTTGTTATGCGCTCCCCTGCGTGTCTCCACTACCCCCAGGCAAGACTGGTCACCAAGCTGGGTGCTGTGCAAATCATCAGAGTACCTCCTGCATGCGTGCCTCTTGGCTAAGAGCTTCACCTTGGCCGCGGTAGGGCATGCCCGGTACAGGCAGGTGAGCCACTTGGCAAAACACGGCCGTCCAGAGTGCCCACGGGTGTGGGTGTTGGCATGCAGTACATGGGTGTTTGCCCTTCTCTTGCCTATCCCCCAGTGGCTCTTTTCAACTGCTGGACACAAGCACCAGTTTGCATCCTGTGTCTTTGAGGTCCCTCCGACTGCTGCTAACTTCATGAGTGCCTATGGTGTGGCTTACCCACTCATTGCCTATGGGATTCCCATGACCTTTGCCATCGTCTGCCACCTCAAAGCCCTGCTACTTCACACACCCAGGAGGGATCGTACACCCAACCGCAGAGAGCCCCAGGCCAGAAGGGTCACCCTTCTGCTGTGGGGGCTGAGTGTTGGATTCACTGTCATGTGGCTGCCAGACTGGGTGGTGTGGATGTGGGTCAGGCACAGGAAACCCAGTGGCCCCCGCCCACCCAGTGCTCTGCTGATCCTGGCTCAGCTGCTGCTTTTTGCCAATGGTGTTCTCAACCCCCTGGCACTACTCACTGCCTCCCAGGACTTCAGGGATGGTGTGAGGAGCATCTGTCAGATGGCCAGCCATGGTGTTCCCAGGGCTAGAGGGTCTGAAGGGACTGCAGTATTGCCCAGCACTCTGGGTCAGAAGAGCTTGGGAACCAACAATGCCCTGCCCACCATCTCAGGTTGCCGAGAGGTGCTTACCTGTCAGGATGTGGTGCAGAACATCCCACCTGATGTGCAGCACTTCTGGCAGGACAGGAAAAATACGGCACCACCAGAAAACAATGACCCAATTCCCTGGGAGCGTCAAGGAAGCTCCTAACCAACAATATTGACTTGTGAAAAGAACTGAAATATTGTGGCTGTTCCGAATTTTCCCAATTTCAAGTAAGTCATCCTTACATTTTGCAAGAGTTTAAAAATTATATCCTTTATTTTGCCATGCTATAGAATTCCAGGCCAGTGCCCACAATCCTTCTGAGAACTGCCTGTTACAAACCTTGCTTAATTCACCAAGTCTCCAAATGGATTGGACTGTCCAAGCGAAATTTTAACCTGCCTCCTGAAACACCTACACAAGGGTTTGTGACTCGCTCATCTTTAGAGCTTTATCTGATCCATACATCCCCATTACAGAATTTGGATAATCCTGTTTAACTTTTTCGTCGCTGTTGGTAAGTTTAGTCCTGCAAGTGACAATTGAATTTTATGAGAAGTCTTTTCAATTGCAGTGGTTTGGATGAGAATGCCACCAGGTGGAAGCATAGTCCAGCTGGTCACATGTTAATCAAGAGGCTTCAAGAATCAAACAGGCCTGTGGAGGTCTGTGAATGTGAGTTTAGCACATTAGAAAAGGAATGTGGGTTTCATTATCCATACATCAAGCAACTCTCATACTTTATTCTGAACATCAATGACAATAATCCTGATGGCATATTAGTGACTGCTGTGCACACTGAAGTTTGCTTCCATTGACGGTATAAAAACAAAACAATGGTTAAAGTTCTGTTCTGGGTCGAATTTTGTTATACTGAAACTCAAACAAGGACATTGCGTACATAGAAGGGAAGCCATTTTCATTGACCAGTGATAATAAGCCAGCCAGCTGCTCAGTCTGGTGGATTCAGATAGTAGCACTCACAGACAATTGGATAAATACTTGAACAAGAAAATTATTGCAAAATGCGGAGAAAGAGTGATGGAATTGGATTAACAGGATTGTTTTGCAAAAGTGTCAGCACAGACTGAATGGAATAACTTCATTCCTTGTGTGGTAGCTTCTGATTCCATGTTGTTACACATAGCAACCAGTTCAATTCTATGTTGCTGTTCTGCTATTAAAGACTTTTGATCAGGTTCATCTTGGAAATGAACATTTTCTGCTCTGATATGATAATGTTTTTAATTGTAAACCAAAACAAGCGAGAGAAGTTTAATGAGCTGAATTGCATTCTCTTTTGTCTATGTTAGCTTAACATTTTGTTGTTTGCTCATTTTATGCTGCAGAACTCTCATTTTGTGAGTTTTACCTATTGTGGGATAAAATTGCTTAACATGAATTTTGGTTGTAATATTTACAATATAGGGTGAAAGAGAGAGGAGACAATTACAATTCTGGGTTGTGTTTGAACTTACAGCCAATGTTATCCACACACCCATCAACCCATCTTCCCACTTATGTTCTAAGCCATCCTGCGATAACATGTCACAACTCACCATCACCTTTTTAAGGGCAATAAGGGATGGGCAATAAATGCTGGCTCAGCTGGCTGATCCTCATATCCTGTGAAAAGATTATCATGCAGTTATCATTTAAAGAATTGATTGCATTGATATATCACTTTTCCCAACTGTAGAATATATAAAAATTTTAGAGAATCAATGGCGTAGGCACTGTGGTATGTGGTAAATACCTTTTGAATAAAGAAGATTTCTTTGTAACTTGCAAAATACTTTGAACCTGTAAAAGAGAAAGACAAGACATAAGAGCTCAAAATGCTATGTTATACTCCTCTCAAATTAATAATAATGCTTTCCATCTAATTGTCCTTATGCTACATTGGCAATGTCACTCATTAGGGTGCAAATATATTATGTTGTAAAGTTTGCAGGAATAAATTTGAAGTTTTCAATCCAATTAGTTTCAAATTCAAATGGGAAAGTACACATCAATAATTAGATAACTTCCTGAAAAGATAGTAAGTGAGGGAAAAGTTCATCAATTAGCTTAATAATGTTTTGCTATTTTAACATTGTCAAATTTTTTTGTAAATTTCCATTGGTGAAAGGATAGAGAAACAGAAAGCCCATATTTTAATTAACTGGTTAATGAAATAAAAAGCAACATGAGGATTTTTTTTAATGCAGTAGATTATTTAGAATTTAAAGTACAATTTCTGAGAATGTGGTGACAGTAGGGTAAATAATGGCTTTTAAAAGGTGACCTCCGTATCTCGAGCACCACCTGCAACTCTGCTAACCTAACAATTACATGCACCCTTCAGATTTCTGGCCTTGTTTTGATTTTAACTTCCTTGATTTTAACTAGTTTGAAATTGCTGCCTGTACATTCAGTTGTGTCTCTCTTAGCTTGGAGAATCCCCAAGTGAAATCTCTCTTTCCTCCTGGCTCTCTTTCACTCATTAAAATGATATTTCAAGTCTAAATCTTTCGCCAAGCTTTTGTCTGTCACATTTCATCATCTTCCCATGGGGCTTGGTGTCAAATTCTGTTTGATAATTGCAGTTGTGAAGCATTTTGGGATATTTTACTTGTGTAAAGGTGATGTACAATTGCAAATTGTTGTTGTTGTTATCTGTTTAATTGCATTGCCTAGAAAAAGAGAAAAAGAGATTGAAAAAATAAAATGATGTAACCTCATTCAAAAAAGTTGCTGTGTCTAGTCTCTTACTAGTATTTCAATCAGCTAACTGATCCAATCCAGTTACTTATGGATCTGAATTTGCAACTCAACCATCCTGCTACCCAGTATGAAAATGCCAGTAAGTTTCACTTTTCTAAGGGACTTTTCTAAGAGACATAGAAAAGAATAGACTAAATGCAGGCACTAGGCCACAGCTATGTGCTGGTATAATGACAAAGACTCTGGCTAGTAATCTAAAGGTCTAGCTCAATGCATTGGTGTAATGTGTTTGAATCCTAACAAGGCAGCTGGAGGATTTTAAATTTATTTGTAGTAAAATTGACCATTGATATAACAAAAACCTGGTTCACAAGAGGGAAGAAAATCATCTGGCTAGCTTTATAAGAAGGCAGCTCACCCTTAAAGGGGGTTTTATTGTATAACTAACCTGTAATTTGTAAGTGATAACTGGAACTTTAATCTTTATCTAACCCATTCTGGATCTTAGCTTGGAGTTCTTCAGAGTGAGCCTTACTTCATGTTGAATCTGTACAATACCTAACATGAGTGTTTTGTTTAAAGTTATTGATAAAGTGTTTTATTCTCCAGCATTGAGATCCTGTGCCTTGATGAACAAAAAAAATGAAAGAATCATAAATAAATTGTTTTTTTTTGGTTATATGGAAGCATGTTTTGTGGCGCAGTGGTGTCATCCCAAATTCTGGGTCACAGAGTCTGGGCGCAAGTTCCACCTACAAAAGAAGTGTGTCATAGCATGTCTGCGTAAGGTTAGAAAAAATCATTAAGCACAAATTATTTCTATCCACTTATCCCTGGAAAGGTACAGTAAGAGATTTATCTAGCAGTATATTGTAAAATGTTGCAGATGTTAAAAGAAAAGATTAATGTATACATAGTCAATAATATTTAGTTGTTGGGTCATGGGTGTGGATTGACTCTGTTAGTGTTACACGTGTGATGTACGTGTTAAAGTTATTTTATTTACTTCTTTACACATTGGAAATAGTTTCACAGTCTTGTTGATTAATTCCATCAAATGGTAGTGTGAGTATTTGTAACTCTGTCATAATATTCCATGTTTGGAGTTGAATAAATATTTAATAAATATTCACGTATATTTTCATGTCTTCTTGTTGCCATGAACTAAATACAGAATTTCCAAGCTGGGTGCAGCTAATCTCCGAAGCTGGTCTTGCACTGGCATGATTGCAAATGTGCTGTTGACTCTCAATATTCTGACATCAGTTCATCACCATCGTTATTAGGTGGAGACCCACATACAGGTTTTCATATGTTTAGGAATTAGGCTGAAAATGATGTGGGGAACATTTAAAGTGAGGGTGGACTTCATGGAATTGAGATGACAACAAAGGATGCTAACAAAGAATAATAGAGAAGGTAGCCCAAGGTCTAGGTAGTCAATGCTTTCAAATACCTTCATGACATCACCTCACCTTATTTCCCCCTGCCCTACAACTCTCTTAGAACTCTGCTCTCCTCTAATTCTGGTTCCTCATGCTTCCCTATTTTAATTGCCCTTCTGTACAGCAGAGCCAGCCAAAGTGCCATGAACCTGGCTACTGCTGCCTTCCCCTGTTGAGCCATTTTCCCCAACAGTGTCCAAAATGGTATACCTCTTTTGGAGGGAGATGACAGCAGGGGACACCTGCACTGCCTTCCTGCTTTTTTTTTCTGCCTTTTGGTCACCCATTCCCTTTCTCCCTCAGCAATCCTAATCTGCGGTTTGACCAATTTGCTAAATGTGCTATCCACGACTTCCTCATCATCGTGGATGCTCCAAAGTGAGTCCATCCACAGCTCCAGAGCCGTCATGCAGTCTAACAAGAGCTGCAGCTGGACACACTTCCTGCATGTGTAGGAGTCAGGGACATCAGCCTTGTCCCTGAGCTCCCACATTGAGCAAGAGGAGCATAACATGGGTAACAGCTGGAACCATTGCTGGGAAACCAAATGAGTGTTTTAGGTTTCATTGTTGCTACAATATCACGTAAAATGAAGAATACCTGGCCTGCACTGGACACTGGGATTATTCTTTTCAGTTTTGCTCCTGACATAGCAAGAGGGTTATTAAGGTTTAAGAGGCAATAAACCAAAAGGAAAAGCAGCATTTTGATTAGCACTCCTACAATCACCTTAACATTCATTGCTTCCTTCACTGATGCAAAAAAGCAGCTGTGTTTAACAGCTACAAGATGCACTATAACATTTTCTAAGGCTCCTTTGACGGCACTTTCCAACTTCGCGCCTACATCACCTAGAAGGAGAAGAGCAGCAGGAGCAGAGGAACACCAGCTGCCCCCTCCAAGCCCAGATTGAAACCATTTTCCTGTTTCTTTCCTGTTGCTGGGCCAAAATCCTGGAATTCCCTTTGTAACAGGGTGTGCACACACTACATGAACTGCAGAGACACAAAAAAG